ATGTTCCACTTGTTTAGTTCATGCTAATGTGAAATATAATATAAAGATTGGTTATTCTGACCATTTATTACAACTGTTTTAAACCTGGGTTCTTTCTCAATTGCTATCAGTGCTATAAAGCTATAGCATACTCTTTAATGTAGCAGTGATGGGCTTAGCAGGCATAGTGGTACTGCTTAGCAGGCATAGTGGTACTGCTGCCATAATGTACAGATTTATCAAGAGGGAGTATCAGTGGTGGGTTATCTGTAGCTACTGAGGGAGTGAGAATTGATAGTAGAAGTAGATAATACTTTTATATACAGTACACTACTGTATAGTTATATAGTAATACTAGTGATACTGTACTATCACTAGTATGCAAGTATGCATATTGAGGTTGATTATTTATTATATATTTATTCAGCCATAAACAGTTCCTGGGATGGCACATATGTACATTGCTATGTGGGTTTCCAATATGGATGCACTGCCACTGCAGGGTAAACCCATTGGTTATGCTGGTATATAGTGTGTGAAACTAGGGCATCAAAGGTTGAGATAATAATCTTAAGCCTCACCTGATGTATATATAGAGTTGTATGTGCATATTGATAAATGGGGCAGGTCACTGAGATTAGGACTGATGATAAATTAGTAAGCTTATAGCAGCTGTGAGTAACTTGAGCCCTACCAGGTGGCCTGACCTTGGGCTTGACCATAGTAGGACTTACCCACAGTTGCTATACTAATATGGTTATCAGACTTATCACTTTCTTTTGATTGTACTAGGAATATCAAAGCTTAGAATGTATTTTATACACTTTGATTTATATTGCAAAGAGTTTTGTATTTTAAGCAGGCGCATGGTCCATATCAAATGGAAAATGGGATTGTAACAATTGTAACAAATACTCACAGTACAGTAGTACATGGTAACATAGATATAATACACAGACCTGTGTGTATTACAGTTTATGTATTATATCTATGATGGTAAGTACTACAATAAGTAATACGATAAAACTTTAAATG